AAAAAATTGAAAAATATGGAAAATTTTAATTAAGAACCGACGTTTCACTTTGATTAATTTTTCTTCAGTTTAGTTTCCAATAATAATGCCATTAAAACTTCCACCCTTTTAAGTAATTTGATGACTTTAAATAAAATCAAACTCCCTCTCACAATATTTTTCCATTTTTAATTTAATGACCTAAAATTTCTAAAGTATTAATTTTTGTATAACTCGTTTTAATTGTGTATATATCATAAACAAATTTGAATTTAAGATATACAAATAAATTGGGGAATTAAAAAAACGTATTTAGTTTATTTAAGGAAATGAAATCTTTGACTATTTTATTGAAGAGGGAAAGTCTTAAAAAAAAATATTTTTTCTTTCTTTTGCAAATTCCTTCCTTGCATAGAAAACTTTCTTTTATAAGATTTAAATTTAGTTTTTTTAATCCTCAAATATATAATTTATTGTAATAATAATTTTATTTATATATTTTTTTATTCAGTAAAATCTATAAATTTGAGAAAATAATGGCCATGAAAAAATCAGTATTAAAAAAAAAAGAAGTAAAAAAGGCATTTAAAATAGATTATAAACGTAAATTTTAAAGAGAAATAAGTGCATTGAATAATAATTTGATAGGGTATTTATATAATATTGCTATTTCCGTAGTTAAAATAGGCTAAATCTCGTGTCTTCATTTCCATCAATGGTAGGTTAGTGAGATAGCAATGGCAGGTTGAAGATGGAAAGAGAGAGGGATATATAAATCTTCAGTTCACTGTATTTCTCATTGTAAAAAATGGGCTCTGGTTCGTTTCTCAACTGAACACTCAAATTCTTTCCTTTTCGTGTTAGTTCTAATTCAGTTGCTTGCTGTAGAGATCGAACAACACCCAACTTCACATTCAACTCCTTTTTCCATTTAAACACTCAAAAACCCCATGTTTGAAGCGTTTTCTTTGTGGGCAATCCGATTCTTGAGGTGAAATGAAGAAGTTGAGGAGTTATTATATGCATTTCAGACACCCACCGAACATGGAGCGGCGATGGATCTTCCTCTTGGCAATAGGCTCCATGGTATCTCTGTTCCTTCTGTTTCTTTCATTGATGACCTCGCCCGGAGGAACCTCTCTGTTTCCGTTTTACAAATCGCTGGCTGTTTCTAGTTCGTTCTTTGTTGAATCGAAGCTTCATCCGGTTCCAGTTTCATCGCTCCCTCCGCCGCCGCGATTCGCGTACCTAATTTCGGGTTCAATCGGAGAGGGCAACATGTTGAAACGGACGCTTGAAGCTTTGTACCATCCGATTAATCGGTATGTTTTGCATTTGGACCTCGAATCGCCGCCGGAGGAGCGGCTGGATCTGCAAAATTATGTCCAGAATCATTCCATTTTTAACAAATTTGGGAATGTTAAGGTCATCACTAAGGCTAATCTTGTTACCTATCGAGGTCCGACTATGGTGGCCACTACATTGCACGCCGCGGCGATTTTGCTCCGAGAAGGTGGCGATTGGGATTGGTTTATTAACCTCAGTGCTTCAGATTATCCTCTTGTTACACAAGATGGTGGGTTGTTGTTTTTTTCTTGTCTTGTTTTTGTTTGGTGGAGGTGCTGGATATGAATTGACAAATCTTATTGATGGATTTTGGACTTTTTTGCTAGATCTACTGCATACTTTTTCTTTCTTGTCTCGTGATCTCAATTTCATAGATCATACTAGCAACATTGGATGGAAAGAGTAAGTGATAGGTTTCTTCGTTGGTTTTTGTGTGTTTCTTTTGATTCTTTTGGCTTGTTTTTTGTGAAGAGTTCTTATTGATATCGAGTGTTGATGTTTGTAGGAGTCAGAGGGCTAAACCAGTGATTATTGATCCAGGGTTGTATATGTCGAAGAAGGCTGATGTGTTTTGGATTACACAGCGGAGAAGTGTTCCAACAGCCTTTAAACTCTTTACTGGTAGGCTTCGAAACAATTTTCGGTTTCTTAGAACAAAAATTTGGGGAATACATGTTTGAATAATCATGGTTTATGAGTTTTTTCTTTCTTTTTTCCTTTTGATCTGTTCTTGTAGATAACAATTGAAGTTTTTTTTCCTTTGATGGGTGTATCATAGTTTCTGTTGTAATCTTGTTATAGGAGCTGTCATTCAACAATTGTTTTATGCTACTCGTAGGTTCGATATCAATTTGTTCTGAGCTAATGACCTTCTGAGTTTGCTGGAAACTTAGCTTAGATCATCCACTTGATATTATTACATGGGCTTTGGATAATCATAACTGATGATCTTGGTATCGATTATTTGACAACTCATTTGTACGACCTTCTTTTCGTTATGAACTGAGGAGAAGGACAGCAAGAACTTTTTAATGGCCTAAATGTCATGTTTCCTTTTGCTTTCGAAGTGTCGGGGAACTATGTAACGGTTTCGTGTGGGTTGTGTTTTGATCGTAGCTCTTAAATGAGTTTCAAAACAAGGGAACTCTAGAAATTACATGGGAATGGTGGTATGAGTTACTGGATGATTTGATCATTAAGTTACTGATCTAAATAGAATTTGAAAGCCATACAAAAGTATAGGTCCGCTTTCTCATTGTATGGCATTTGAATGTCATGGTGGAGACATTTTCTTATGTTTTAAAGTTATTAGAAGTGTTGGTGGAAAACCTCAAGTACTTGCTTAGAATCTGACTTGGTGATGGGAACAGTTCATGTCGGAAATCTTGAGGATATTTGTTTCTTGCTTGTATGAAGCGGTAGCTTTAGAAAGATAAACGCTATATTGGCCTTAGGTGGATCCATTGGGATAGAACAGGGGCATAATGCATTGTAACAGCCCAAGCCTACCGTTAACAGATATTGTCTGTTTTGGCCCGTATTGTCGTCAGGCTCAGTTTTTAGAACACGTCTATTAGAGAGAGGTTTCCACACTCTCTCTAACCGATGTGGGATCTCACAAACATAGTAAACAAAATGAAGGATGCGAGCATTTACACTTTTTTGTGTTTTTAGTTAAGATTAGAGTATGTTGTTGTTTCAAGGTGCAAATATAGTGATTCTGTTCTGCATTTAACTCATTGAATATCAATGGAATGTTTCACTTTGCTCACGTTTTTGATGTTATTTGTTGGCATAATCATGGCCAATACTGTATCATTTCCTCTTTGCTTGAACGGATGATTTTCTTATGGTAGTTCTTTTACTGAACTCTTGCCTTATCACAGGTTCGGCTTGGATGGCGCTTTCTCGGCCCTTCATCGACTACTGCATATGGGGTTGGGAAAACCTACCTCGGATCGTCTTAATGTATTATGCAAACTTCATATCTTCTCCAGAAGGGTACTTCCACACCGTCGTCTGCAACGCCCAACAGTTCCAAAACACTACAGTGAACAGCGACCTCCATTTCATATCATGGGACAATCCTCCCAAACAACATCCTCACCATCTCAATATCAATGACATGCAAAGAATGGTAGATAGCAATGCTCCATTTGCTAGAAAGATAGTAGGAGAAGATCCCGTTCTCGATGAAATCGACAAGAAACTTCTACACAAACGCCCCAACATGGTAGTTGCAGGTGGTTGGTGCATTGGAAGCCACGAAAATGGGACCGATCCATGCTCGATCACCGGCAATACTAATGTATTGAAACCAGGTCCTGGAGCTAAACGACTTGAAACTCTGATCAGCTCTCTATTATCCAAAGAGAACTTTCGACCTCGACAATGCAAATAAAGGAGATACATCATCATCATCTTCATCTTCATCGACAACATACTAAAAATCCCAAATGGTAAAACTCAGATCATGGAGAATCGGGAGAATCATCATATATTTTGGTGTTTGGGAAGGAAATGGCTGAAAGTGTACACAACAACCCCTTCAGTAGGTTAATAGAAATGGTTCAGCCATATCCATTTCTCTTAGCCTTTTGTTATCTTACAAAGCTTCTTGACAGGTTCTTTTTTCCTCAATCCCTCTGCTGCCGCCGCCGCCTGCTGCTGTGGCAACACTTCTGTTTTTGTTCCACTGATACCTTTCCTTTGTAATACCCAAATGGATGGAAGAATTTGGCCGTGACTCACTCTTAGTTGATGAATTTTCTGCTTACTGTTAGTATCAAAATTCTGTCAGAATCTTTGAAACCTCTAAATTTAGTGTTCTTATGCTCTTAGAAGCTTGGTATCATAGGTTCTCTAGTCCTTACTGTTAAGGGTTTGAAGTTAATGAATAAAATTCTCTTTTTTTTTTTCAATTAATTTCAATTTTTGTCCCTACTTTTAGTTTTTTTATTGATTTTTTTAAAATCATGTATTAGTATTTAAAAATAGCTGTTTCATTTTAATAAAATGATAGACAAAAATATATATATATCCACCAATAGAATTTTAAAAAAAGAACCAAATAGTAAATTTAAGACGAATATAAGTTAATCCTAAAACTAAGGAAAAACTTGGTTCAAGTCAACTAGTTTAAGATTTCTTTCTAATTTAAGGAAAAATTTAACTCTAAGTCAACTAGCTTAAAGATTTCTTTCCATTTTTGTACAAAAGGTCAAATTTTGTTTAAAAAATTACTGGATCATGGTCCTTTCCCTCCCCTTTTCTTGACTGGACTAACTCTTAGGGCCAATCTCCAGAGCATGCTACACAACCACTCTTAGGGCCAATCTATCTATCACCGATTATTTTCTCCACTAAGAACCCCTTTCCAACCAGTCCATTCAATCGATTTTGTAAGATCGGCTAATTTAAAGGGGGGTGAATCTGGTTCGAAGTTATCTGAACGAATCGTTTGCTTTCTCGAAACTTTATTTGGGGGTCGATCTTACTATTAACAAGGAAGCATTAATTTTTTTAATATATTTTATACAAATGTTCCTTAAAACAAGGAAGGTTATCTACTAATTTATTTGATTTACTGAATGTTTTAGATGCCATATCTTTGTTAACTAACATTCATTATTAAAAAAAAAATACCATTTATAAAAAATCAAAGCCGAGGGCATTTTCGTCACTTAACAAATGTAATAGATTTATTTATTTTTTTTTAAAAAAAATACAATATTTAAAATAGTTATTTATCCTCAATTATTCTCTTGTTTCTTTGGATGAATGTTGATTGGCAGTTTCCGTTTTCTTCTTCTCAGCCTCCTCTGTTTCTGCCATTTTTGCGGCTTCACCTTCTTCCTCTGCTTTCTTCTTCTTCTTCTTCTCTGCTTCCTCTTTCGCATCCTCAAGAGCTTCCACCAATCTCTTGAAACAATCATCCGTTGTTTCACCCTCATATTTCGGCATCAAATTCTCAGCCACATCCGCCGGACTCATCTCGGCTTCCTCTAACAATTTCCTAATTTTGTGGTACGAATCATGCCATTCAACGTCCAAGTAATTCCTCGAAAGAACTTTGAAAGCTTCGAACCCACAGAATGGCATCTCTATGTGTTTGTCCATTCTTCCCCTTCTAATCAAAGCTTCATCAAGCTTCTCCTTGTGATTGGTCGTGAAGATTATCAGCCGTTCCCCCCCGCACGCCGACCAAATCCCGTCGATGAAATTCAACAACCCAGAAAGTGTCACCTTGCTCTGTTTCTCCTCGTCTTTCTCTGCCCTCTTAACAGGGTCTTTCTTCTCCTCCGTTTCTTCCCCATCCTCTGTTTTCTTCTTCTTCCGTTGGCCGGTAAGATCAAGAGAGCAATCAATGTCCTCAATCACAATCATTGCTTTATTCGATACCTCAATCAATAGCTTTTTCAGCTCACTATTATCCTTAACGGATGTCAGCTCCAAATCATACACATCATACTCCATGAAATTGGCCATGGCGGCGATCATGGTGGACTTCCCAGTCCCCGGCGGACCATACAGAAGATATCCACGTTTCCAAGCCTTACCCACTTTCTCATAATACTCTTTTCCATTCTTAAACTTGATTAAATCGTTGATAATCCCCTGCTTCTTCTCCGGATCCATGGCCAGAGTCTTAAAATTAGCAGGATGCGCAAAAGGAACATGCCTCCAGTTGCTTTTATGCCCCCAGTCGTTCTTGGCGTTGTTCATATAAAGCTTCCGCTGCCGATTCCTCTGCTCCACCGCCTTGCCCTGTTCCATGATGTGGTTAATAAAAGACCCAAGAATGGTGTCCCTGTGGCGGCGGTGGAAAGTGAGCTTGTAGAATCGTCTCTCATCATTTGAAGGGTAATAAGAAACAGAGGGATTCTTGGACGTAGTTTTACTGGAAGTCCACCAGATTTGGACGCCTTCAAATTCGTCAATAACTTCTTCATTATCATCCATACTGAGTATCAGAGATTTGCTATCTTTGACCGCCTCTGCTCTCATACGCTTGGCCCGGATGGAGCTTCGGGAAGCGAGGTAGTTTTGGATGGCGGTAAAGGCTTCACTACGGCTGAGACGCTCGCCAGTGTACTCAGGGAAGGTGATAGTGATGTAAGGGTAAAGAAAACCGGTGAGTTTGTGGGCATATCTCTGGACATGGCCACGGAGTTGGTGAGGGAAATATTGCTGAATAATTGCCCAAACAAACAGGAGGGTGGCCATTAAAGAGCCGACTTGAGTCCAGAGCTCCCCCATCGTCATCGCCATGGCTTCTGTAAAAGGGTAATCGAAAATGGGTTTTTAAGCTGCTGACTTGCAAGTCTTCTCTTAAGAACACGACAAGGACAACAGCTTCGCCGCGGCTTCATCGGTCAACATCCAACGGTCATTTTTAATATTATTTTTTTTTTTTTTAATTTTTAAACAAAGAAATAAAAAGTAGGAAATTTTGCCGCCACGTGGTCGTAATGAGTCAAATTTGATGTGATCTACTAGGCTAAGTCTAATTATTTTAATAAATAAATTAATAATTTTTCAAAAATTTAAAAATTGTTTAATAAAAATATAACAGAAACTAAGAGTACACTCAAACCTTAAAAATTAAAATACTAAAAGAAAATAGGAAACTTAGTTAAGAAATAAAAAGAAATTATGTTATTTTTTCTGAAAATTGAGATGGGTCAAGTCTTCTAAGAGTCGTAATTATATATATATATATATATTAACGAGTCAAAGATGGCTTACAACAAGTCAAAGAAATTGCCCTTTCCATGCGCTTGTTTGGACTTGGTTTCTTTTTGTACGTGTGAAAAAAGGAGCCCTAAAACAAGTGGGTGCGTCCTTCATTTTTTTTTTTTTAAATTAAATTTATTTTATTAAATAGTTATTTTAATGAGGTTAAAATAATAAAATATCTTTATAATATTTCTAAAAAAATATTTTAATTTTTTTTAAAATTTTAATAATACTCTTAAACTTAAAAAAAAAATAGAATACTTCCCGCGTTTAATAGGTTTCAATGATAATTTTAAACTTTAAAAAAGTTCAAAAATATTCTTAACATGATTTTAAAGTTCACCTTTTATTTTTATAAAAAAATAAATAAAAATTTTATATTGTCAATATAATTGTTTTCGTTCATATAGATTATTTATTTCCAAAATTTTTTAGTATTCACTTTTGAAGTTTATGAGTGTTTTTATTTTAAAAAAAAGTTGAAAATTTTGAAGTTTTTAAAAAGCATTATAATGAGGTATTTTTTTAAAAAATACCTTTTTAAAATTTAAAGATATTTTTGAAATAATATATTAACTATGCCTCTGTGAACAAATATTTTTTTGAATTTTTTTAACACAAAAATTAAACTATATTGGAAACTTTTGAACCCTCCCAAAATTTAAAAATTTAAGAGTATTTTAATTAAATATTATTACAAATTTTAAGTTGTGATGTTACCATTAAGAAGATATATTAGAATGGGAAATATAATTATTATTAGAATAATTATTGTGATTGGACGTGTATTACAAAATCTAATGCCTTAATTAGTAATACTTAAACAAATTTAAAATCCTTTCCTTTCTCTCTCCCTATATATAATAATATCAATTTCTCCTCTCCACTGTATAAACCCTTTATTATTTTTAATTTCCCAATTTACCCTCTTCTTCATTCCCCTGTTTCCCTCTCCAAACAAAAAAACATCCCAAATGCCGGCTATGTCGGTGATGGAGCTATGGACTCACGTCGGATCATTCATGGCGGCTGTCATGCTCATTTGGGCAATATTCCAACAGTATTTCCCAGACCACCTTCGTCGCTCAATTGATAGACACGCCCACAAGCTAATTGGTTCTCTTTATCCTTACATCACAATCACCTTCCCTCAGTACACCGGCGAGCGTCTCCGCCGAAGTGAAGCGTTCACCGCTATTAAGAACTACCTTGCCTCCCGGAGCTCCGTCCAGGCCAAGCGCCGGAGATCTGAGGCGGTAAAAGATAGCAAATCTTTGATACTCAGTATGGATGATAACGAAGAAGTTCCCGATGAATTTGAAGTCCACCATGATCGCCGCCATGGCCAATTTCATGGAGTATGATGTGTATGATTTGGAGCTGACATCCGTTAAGGATAATAGTGAGCTGAAAAAGCTATTGATTGAGGTATCGAATAAAGCAATGATTGTGATTGAGGACATTGATTGCTCTCTTGATCTTACCGGCCAGCGGAAGAAGAAGAAAACAGAGGATGGGGAAGAAACGGAGGAGAAGAAAGACCCTGTTAAGAGGGCAGAGAAAGACGAGGAGAAACAGAGCAAGGTGACACTTTCTGGGTTGTTGAATTTCATCGACGGGATTTGGTCGGCGTGCGGCGGGGAACGGCTGATAATCTTCACGACCAATCACAAGGAGAAGCTTGATGAAGCTTTGATTAGAAGGGGAAGAATGGACAAACACATAGAGATGCCATTCTGTGGGTTCGAAGCTTTCAAAGTTCTTTCGAGGAATTACTTGGACGTTGAATGGCATGATTCGTACCACAAAATTAGGAAATTGTTAGAGGAAGCCGAGATGAGTCCGGCGGATGTGGCTGAGAATTTGATGCCGAAATATGAGGGTGAAACAACGGATGATTGTTTCAAGAGATTGGTGGAAGCTCTTGAGGATGCGAAAGAGGAAGCAGAGAAGAAGAAGAAGAAGAAAGCAGAGGAAGCAGGTGAAGCCGCAAAAATGGCAGAAACAGAGGAGGCTGAGAAGAAGAAGAAAAGCAAAGATAATGAAATTAAAAGCAATGGAATTGGAGGTAAAGAAGCAAAAGAAAATGGTGAGATAGAGAAATATGAGAAGAATTGAGGAAAATGGTGTAAGGTTATTAGTTGAATTCTGTTTTCATCTGTATTTCATAATTTGTTGGACGGGTTGAATGCATAATATATTTTTATTCCGAGTTCGTGCACGAATCCATTAGGCTGGCTTGTTAATGTATGACTATGGACTAGTTTATGCTTGCGCGACTAAAGTACTAGCAAAAAAAAAAAAAGGAAGGAACACGAACAATAATCTGATGTACGCATCCGTCCATATGAAATACAACGTGCATGATGTCATGCATAAAAAATTATTGTTTAATGAGATGATGCAGGAAAGACTTTAATTCTTTATTTGATGTATATAAATATTTTGGACATTTTGTTCATACTTATCATACATGGTATATCATGATTGTGTTAATATAATAGTCATAATCAAACATAAAAAGAAAGTACATGCATTGTGTCATGATGCTACTAAGAAAAGTAGTTTGTCTTTCATATGCAAGATAGACAAAAAGTGACCCTCAAGTGGTACTCATTTAGCTACGTGAGAGCGAAGATTGAGAAGTGTCATGATGCGATCAAGAGTGTGCATTTAAGCTAAGTCGTGGTATACGCAACGTTTGAGAGAACGAGGTGACATGAGTGTTAGAGTTTCGGCATGAGGCCTGGGAATTAAGATCGTTTATATGAAAGATGAAAGCTCACCAAATTTCGTGTAATTGGATACTCGACAAACTATGCAAGAGGTCGTATGTCCGCTTGCCCAAATGACATCTACTCGAGAAGGATTGAAAATGCCTTAAAATATACTACAGGGGGATAGTGTCAACTCTCCACCACCTCTAGCCCCTATGGCCTAAGTAAACTATTATGTGGCATGTATGTGTGTCACAACGTGGGCGCGCGACGCGGGACAAGCGTTTTCCTTTGAAAAGGGTCTTTCAAGGACAATACAAGATGACACAGGTGTGCTGATATTGCGTCCCAGCCCATGTGTCAGAGATACACCCGCTATCCTAAAAGTATGCGGTTAATGGTTTAGCATAGATACGGGAGAGCTCAATGCTCGAGAGACCTAGATGGATGGATGTTTGGGATGTCTCGATGAGATGATCAATACATGGGTCAGTTCCCAACAGATGTGTATGAGCAAGCTCGATGCGAGGATCATGTTGTTGTCTCATAAACAATTGAACATACACGTGCAGGTGGCGTGTGTGGTCGAATAAGCATGGATTCTGCACAATTCATTCAGATTTCACAACATAAACAATATATAATAGAGTTCACATAATATGTGTTATTCATGCATAAATAATAAACAATAATTTCAAAGCTTAGTGCTCCTAAATTTTATTTGGTCAAAGGTGGAACCTAAATTTTATTAAATTTAACCTAAACTATTATACATACATTTTATTTTAAAATTATTTAATTTAAAAATATTAATGTTTATTATTTATTATCCCACTATTCTTAAAATAAAGTTTAAAAATAAACAAAAATTGTACGTATTAATATTTTTTTATTAAAAATATAATAAATAAATAATTCGTATGAGTTCAACCAAATATAAATTAAAAGGAACTTGGCGAACAAGTTACATTTACTTATTTATTATTATTTTTTTTGGAGTGTTCTAATTAATTATTTATTATACTTTTAAATGCACTCTTTTACACTAATTTTTTTTTTTAAAAAGAAATAAATAAACAAAAAAAAAAGTTTAATAAAATAAACATTCATATCTATTTCTTTGAAACTATCAAAACATTATAATTTAATATTTAAATTTGCATTAAAAAACATTAACCTATGACATAAGCTGACCTAACTACCTAAACCAAAAACATTTTAGTATTGGATATTTAAAACAGATTTTTTTGGGGTTAAAAAATGAAGAAAAAATATAGTTTTTTTTTTTAATGTTCAAAGTAAAATAAATAAAATTAATGTTTATGGGTATATGACACCATCCTTATTACATCACAATCCTTGCATCATTTCTTTGGTCTTCCCCTTTCTCATTTTAAAATCCAATCAAATTTATTTTCCAAAAAATGCAAAATAGCAACCAAACTTTAGAGTATCAAATTTTAAAGTTAATGACTTAATTATGACATTTAAAGAAATTAAATGTTGAGTATATACATTATTGTTAAGAAATAGAAATAGAAAATAGAATTAGTGTATGATCATCATTCAGTTTACCACGTTCCTAAAAATAGAAAAAAATATATAACTAACTAAATCTGGTAAATAAATAAAACACGATTAATCAAATTTATACTAATAACTCCCTAAATATATCAGATTATATTCTAACTAATATATCTCCAAAATATCCTCTTAATTTATTATGCTTACATAATTTATAAGTGGGTATTATATAAAAAAAAAAAAAAAAAAAAAAATTAATATAACCAACAAGGACCAATATTATTAGTTTTCTTAATGTTGAATGACAAAGTATTAAAATTAAAATAAGTATTTGAAAAGATTAAAAAGAGTTAAAGCATATTTAAATACAAAATTGAAAGTAACATAAACCTAAATTATTAGTGGAGGAAGAACAGAGGTGGGTTATTATTAATGAACGAACCACGAAGCTTAGCTGCAGACTTGGAGGTCTTTTTTAAAGAAGACGATGGCCTAACATCTTTCGTCGTAGCTTCATTTGCAACACGCCTGTGTCATGCTGCTGACCGCTCCATTAAAGAAAAGGGAACTGGGAAACTTATACATAATATTGAAATTGAAAAGTACAATAAATTTATATACATAATATTGAAATTGAAAGCTATTTATTATACATTTTTAAGTATAAAAAACATTTATTAATAATATTTGCAAAATTTAGAATACAAATTTGCTATTTATACATAAAATTTCCTCACGTCCCACATGGGAAATCGTGTTCATGTAACACATGTGGAAAATCGTGTTCATGTAACACACTTTTCTTTAATGGAGGGGTCAGCCGCCATGAAAATAAAATAAAAGAAAAAATCAGGCACTAATAAAGCCACGACGTGTTAAAAAAATCATGCACTAATGGAGCGGTCAGCAGCACGAGAAAGGCGTGTTGACAAATGAAGCTACGACGAAAGATGTTGGGCCATGGTTTTCTTTTAAAAAAGACCTCCAAGTCTGCAGCTAAGATTCGTGGTTCGTTCATTAATAATAACCCACCTCTGTTCTTCCTCCACTACTTCTCTACTGAAAACATGGTGATGACGATGGGGGAGCTGTGGACTCAAGTCGGGTCTTTAATGGCCACCGTCGTTTTTGTTTGTGCTATTATTCAGCAATATTTCCCCGACCCACTACGTGGCCATATCGACAGATATGCACACAAACTTACCGGTTTTCTCTACCCTTACATCACTATCACCTTCCCTGAGTACACCGGCGAGCGTCTGCGCCGAAGTGAAGCCTTTACCGCCATTCAAAACTACCTTGCTTCCCGAAGCTCCATCCGCGCAACGCGTATGAGAGCGGAGGCGGTCAAAAACACCAAATCTCTGATACTCAGTATGGATGATAACGAAGAAGTTATAGACGAATACGAAGGCGTCAAAATCTGGTGGACTTCCACTAAAGTTATGCTCAACAATAAAAGTTTTTCTCGTTACCCTTCAAACGATGAGAAACGATCCTACCAGCTCACTTTCCACCGGCAGCACAGGGAGATCATTCTTGAAACTTTTATACACCACATCATGGAAGAAGGCAAGTCGGTGGAGAAGAAAAATCGGCAACGGAAGCTTTATATGAACAGTTCCAAGAACGAATGGTGGCATAAAAGCAACTGGAGGCACGTTCCTTTTGAGCATCCTGCCAAGTTTCGAACTCTGGCAATGGATCCTGAGATGAAGCAAGGGCTTATAAACGATCTAATCAAGTTTAAGAACGGAAAAGAGTATTACGAGAAGGTGGGAAAGGCTTGGAAACGTGGCTATCTTCTCTACGGTCCGCCGGGTACTGGAAAGTCCACCATGATCGCTGCCATTGCCAATTTCATGGAGTATGATGTCTATGATCTGGAGCTCACGTCCGTTAAGGATAATAGTGAGTTGAAAAAGCTATTGATTGAGATATCGAACAAATCAATAATTGTGATTGAGGACATTGATTGCTCTCTTGATCTTACTGGACAACGGAAGAAGAAGAAAACAGAGGATGAAGAAGATAAAGAGATGAAAGACCCTGTTAAGGAGGCGGAAAAAGAGGAGGAGAAACAGAGCAAGGTGACACTTTCTGGATTGTTGAACTTCATAGATGGAATTTGGTCGGCATGCGGTGGGGAGAGGTTGATCATCTTCACGACCAATCACAAGGAAAAGCTTGATGAAGCTCTGATTAGAAGAGGAAGAATGGACAAACACATAGAGATGTCATACTGTAGTTTCGCGGCTTTCAAAGTTCTATCAATGAACTACTTGGACGTTGAATGGCATGAATCGTACCACAGAATTGACCAATTGTTAAAGGAAACCGAGATGACTCCGGCAGATGTTGCTGAGAATTTGATGCCGAAATATGAGGGTGAAGAAACGGATGAGTGTTTCAAGAGATTGGTTAATGCTCTTGAGCGTGGGAAAGAGGAAGCTAAGAAGAAGGCAGAGGAGGAAGCGGAAGCAGCAAAAGAGGCAGAAAAAGAGAAGGAAGAGAAGGAAGCGGCGACGAAAAAGGAAGAAGAATCATCAATCTACACAGCCGAAAATAATGGAATTAAATGCAACGGAGTTGCAACCAAAGAAGCAAAAGAAAATGGTCACATGGAGAACAATCAGAACAGTTGAAAAAAGGCAATTCAGGGCAATGCATATTTTAATTAATTAGGCTAAAGTTAAAGGTGTGTGAAAATGGATTCCTAGGATAAGTGAGTTGGCCCGTTGTCTGTGGCATATGCTTGTTGTATAAATTGATGCAATATAATATCTATGTTAATGGACAAATCACAACAGTTATTATTATATGATAGCTCCTGCTTCCATTGATTCTTTGTTATAGAGAACTGATTCAATGGAAGCTTACAGAATCTTCTTTAATGGCTGACCAAAAAAAAAGAAGAAGAAATAATTAAATCAGAAGGGAAACGAAATAAGGAGACGAAACGAGACGAGTGAAATGGGAGTAAAAAAGGGTGTGGTTTCAAAGACATGATCATCGAGCTTTTTTTCTCAAACACTTCGACAGGTAACAAAAACACTCAGCTGTAATGCTGAAACTATGAACCGTGCTTGAACACTTCGACAGCATTTATCTTTTGGCTTTTGTGGTGAGTGAATACAGGATTTTCATAACAAGATCAAACAGAAATTCACTTGAAAATAGATGATTCAAGAGGAAAATGGATGGATATAGAGTAAACCATGCGAGTCTTGGTTGGGATTTCTATTTCTAGTGAAGCTCGCTGTTGAAGTCACAAGTTTAAGTCGAGTCTGTTTGGATTGAGACTCCAAATTAAAGGATTAATCAAAAAAGTAGGTTCAGAGTAATCCAAATGAACGGATTTATCAGAAACTCAGGCTCAGAATATGAATATTCATTCTCATAGACTTTTCCTTCCGAGAAAAGAAAAATCTCTGAAGTCTGACATGTGAATTTCATTCATAACTCATCACCGCAGAAGAAGCGAAAAAAACACCTAAGCAATTGCCACAAAGCAAGAACCAATGACGACAAGCAATTACACTAATCACAAAGAAAAAAACTCTGTAGCGGAAGCTCTCATTGCGTTTCAGTAGATCTCTACAGAAGTTTCAACTTCAGAATAGCGTATATTGCCCGATAAGGCATGTAATCACAGAGCAACCGCAACAGAAAAACGCATATCTTGTAGAAAAAATATCAGAGAAAAAACAAAACAGGTGGAAGCAAGTTAGGAGTTGAAAACAGTCACGATTTAATCCAAAACGCGGACAAACACAAAATTCTCATCAAACCTCCAGAATCACTGACTCAAATACTCGAACAAACAAGTAAACGTGTAAAGAAAGATAGCCAAATCATAAAAAATACTAAGAATCATAGATTTGGAATGGATTTCCCAGTCATATTGCAGCAGGTTTTTTCTAATCACTTTATTCAAGTAACAAAGAATGACGAACAAACGCAGAGAGAGGCCATCAAAGAGATGTCGTGAAGAAAGTAGAGACAGAAGTGGAAAAGTGACCGGGGAATGTGAACTTGGAGGCGCATTTTTATAGGTCTAATTTGACCGCTGGATGAGAAACCCTAGACAGGATCCGAACAACGTTCTGCCCTTTAGGGCCTTCGGCCCAACCAACCGAAGGGTCCAAAAACTAATACATTATTCATTAGTTAAAATATATATATATTTGATTTTATTTTTCCCTTAAAAATAATAAACGACATCGTTTTAGCCACCATTTCAACAAACGAAGATCTATGAGACCTAGGAATTCACGAAACCTTGGCAAACTGGCGACCTAAACAAAGTTATAGGTTATTATAACTTATTATTATTTTTTAGTCATAACATTTTAAACAATTATAATATTTCGTTTATTGTTTTTTCAATTTGAATATAATTTAAATTAGTTAAAATATTTTGGTTTTCGAGATGGTTTGATTTTATTAGTTCATGTTATTGAAAAGAAAAAAAAAATAAAAAATTAAGATTTTTTTTTAATTAATTTATTAAATTCCACAAATGAAAAATAGACCAAAAAAATAAATATAAATTTAAAAAATAGAAAGGAAAAAAATATAAAATATAGAAAAATCTGTTGCCACTCACCAGTAGCCAAAGCACCAATATTTAATTTTTATTTTAAAAAGTTGATTTTCCAAGGCGTACAAGTTAACATAGAAAGATCGGTGACTCCAAGGACGACTTGTCGGCTTCTGAGATCTCGGCGCCACCTTTGCTCTTTGGTCTCTTAAGCCAAACGACTTGTCGTTTTCATAACTTCCGCCCTCTTTTTATTATAAATGTAATGTATTCATAGTTCAACTTCTAAAAACAAAGCTACTTGCTTCGAACTCCTCCAATAATGGTGGAAGCAAAAGACCAGCACGGTCCGATGAACAACAATGCCTTTCCAACCATTGATCGTTGTTCATCCATCGGTCGGGAGAAGCACACGGTCGTCGCCGACATGGATGGGACATTGCTTTGTGGGCGTAGCTCTTTCCCTTACTTCGCCCTTATCGCCTTTGAGGCGGGTGGAGTATTGAGGCTTTTGTTTTTACTATTAGCCTCTCCGATCGCTGGAATTTTGTACTACTTCATTTGCGAGTCAGCTGGTATTCGTGTCCTTATTTTCGCAACTTTCGTTGGAATGAAGGTAAACTAAACCATTTTATCATTCAAAGTCGAAGTTATTAATAATTAAATATTTAATAAATTTTAAACTTAAAAAGTTAAAAATTTGAATAAAAATGGATAAAATAGAAATTTTAATTTAAAAAGTAATTTTATTAATAAAACTAAATTTGAAAACTATTTAGAAATAGATTATGTACTTTGATGCGTTAAAAGTTTAATTTATTATTAAAATTCAAAACTTAAATTGATTATCTCACCAAAGGTTTCCGACATCGAGTCGGTGGCGCGTGCGGTTCTACCAAAGTTCTATGCACATGACTTGCACGTGGAGACTTGGAGGGTATTTTCGTCATGTGGAAAACGGTGCGTTTTAACAGCAAACCCAAGAATCATGGTAGAACCATTTCTGAAGGAGTTCTTAGGCACTGACGTAGTCATCGGAACTGAAATTCACACAATCGGCCGGCGAGCCACCGGCTTGATTCAAAGTCCTGGAATCATAGTGGGAAAAAACAAGGCTACGGCGGTGAGAAAAATCCCAACGCCGGATATTGGGATCGGTGACCGGAAAACTGATTACCCCTTTATGAAGCTCTGCAAAGAGGGGTATGTGGTTCCGGTGAGGCAGGAGGTTAAGCCGGTGACCGTCGATAAATTGCCTAAACCAATCGTGTTCCACGATGGGCGACTGGTTCAAAAGCCTACGCCGTTAATGGCGATGGTTTTAGTTCTATGGATTCCAGTCGGGTTTGTTCTTGCCTGCTTGCGGATTGCTGCCGGTTCTCTCCTTCCGATGCCGATTGTGTACTATGTCTTTTGGGCTCTTGGCGTTAGGGTCAAAATCAACGGTACACCACCACCTCCGGCAAAGAAATCCACCGGCCAAACCGGCGTCCTCTTCATTTGTTCTCACCGAACCCTTCTCGATCCAATCTTCCTCTCAACCGCTCTCGGCCGTCCAATCCCCGCCGTGACATACTCAATCTCCCGCCTCTCGGAGATCATTTCTCCCATCAAAACCGTCCGCCTGAGTCGTGACCGAGCGGCCGACGCCTCAATGATCAAGAACTTACTCCAAGAAGGCGACCTAGCGATTTGCCCAGAAGGGACGACATGTCGGGAGCCATTCCTGCTCCGATTTTCAGCATTGTTCGCGGAGCTAACAGACGAGATCGTTCCAGTGGCGATGTCGAACCGAATGAGCATGTTCCACGGGACGACAGCGAGAGGGTGGAAAGGGATGGACCCGTTTTACTTCTTCATGAACCCAAGTCCGGTCTACGAAGTGACGTTTTTGAACAAATTGCCATGCGAACTCAGCTGCGGCGGAGGCGGGAAATCGAGCCACGAGGTGGCGAATTACATTCAGAGAATGATTGCTGCAACGCTGTCGTATAAGTGCACTAACTTCACTAGAAAAGACAAGTACAGAGCTCTCGCCGGAAACGATGGCGTCGTTGTCGAGAAATCGAAGGTTCAGTCCACAAAGATAATGGGCTGCTAGAGATTCGAGACAAAAACTTAAATTATGTGCGTAGCACAATAAAATTTTAGAATTGTGTGAAAAAAAATTTACAAAATTAGAAAGTTTTAAATTTTCAACATTTTTATTTTGATAATTTCTATTCAATCACTAACCGAAATTACTCTTAGACAACAAGAACACACGGCATATGATACCAGACTCGACCAGCTATCACGGGAGCTGTCCAGTGATAGAGGGAGAGAAGTGGTTTGCAACAAATGTGTTCACAGTTCTTCTTTCCCACTGATGTGCTATCTCACAAAAACGCACACGAGTGATCTAGCAGTTTAAAAGACAGCATCTTAACGCTATAGTCTTGACCATATTGGCTTGGCTAACTCCAACATCTCGTTTTTGCTCGATTTTCTTCGTTTCTCTTTAATTCTTATAACTCTTTTCACCTCGACGAGACTAGCTTGGCCTAAAGCTTCATTACCACTTCATCCCTAGTCTAATGTCCATGACAACTCCATTCTATCTTAGAGCTCGATTCTTTTCTTCTGACAAAGGAAGACGAATCTTTGTTAAGTGTTTGGTAGCTATGTTTACCCTAATTGGTGTCAAAGCTCCTCTTTCCCACGAAGTTCTTGAGTTCCTAAGCCAATCTAATAAGGCTAATAGTTAACTAATCATTTTAGTCTCGAGACGGTCGTATCATACGCCATAGTCTTTCTTTTCCTCCCAACCCACAAGCTAGAAATGGCATTAACCAAAATTTAGAATAAGAATCAACTCCATAATGAAAGAATCACTCACTTTGAGCCTTGAATAGAATGCACTTGGGCCAACCTCATGAGAGAGAGAGGAAAAGAATCATGCAGTAATGGTTCATTGGGAGCTCTGTTTCCATGCATTTCTTGCCTTAAAGATCACTTCTTAAACATTCACTTTTCCCCTCTTAAAAAATGACAAACTATAGCTTCCAATTGCATCACCATTACATACTAAAGCTTTTACCCTCAGATCTCCCTCTCATCACCATTGTTGCAGGATGGGGAAGCCTCCTTGCTGCGATAAGTCCAATGTTAAAAGAGGGCTTTGGACTGCAGAGGAAGATGCCAAAATCCTTGCTTATGTTTCCAACCATGGAGTTGGGAATTGGACTCTGGTTCCCAAGAAAGCAGGTCTCTCTCTGTCTGTCTCTCCCTCTCTCTCTTCTTTCTCTTGCTTTATTTCTTTTGTTGTCTAACAATGAAGGAATTTGAATGAATACGCCTCGTTTTTCAAAGGGCTGAATCGATGTGGAAAGAGTTGTAGACTGAGATGGACTAATTACCTTAGGCCTGATCTCAGGCACGACAGCTTCACTCCTCAAGAAGAAGACCTCATTATCAAACTCCATCAAGCCATTGGAAGCAGGTCCTTTCTCACTTCCCTTTCGTTTTCGGATATTTGATTTATGGGTTAGATTTAAATAGTCTAAGCTTTTGAGGTCGATTTTGTTGAGGATTGTTGGGAGAAAGTTCCACACTAGCTAATTAAGGGTATGATCATGAGTTTAGAAGTAAGGAAAACTAAAAGCAAAGTCATGAGAGCTTATGCTCAAAGTGGACAATATCATACCATTGTAAAGATCCGTGATTCCTAACATGATATCAGAGTCATGCCCTTAACTTACGTACAAAGATGTTGGGACCCTCGATAGTGTAGTCAAAAGTGACTCAAGTATCCAACAAAGGATGTACTTTGTTCGAAGGCTCCATAGATCTCAGGAAAGGCTATATGGTGTACTTTGTTCGAGGAGATGATTATTGAGAATTGTTGGTTAATCAAGGGGATGATCATAAGTTTATAAGTAAGGAATACATCTCCATTTGGACAATATCATACCATTGTGGAGAGTTATGGTTCCTAATAGAATTTGCGTCGGTACTTTTTTGCGTATATGCGTAACTTTACCTCGTATCTACTTTTTTGCGTATATGCCTAACTTTACCTCGTAGACGTTCAAATTTAAACTCTAATCCAAATAGTCATTGTACTAATGCATATAATGCTCGTACTTATATACCAAGGATCTTTCTCGACACACATACCAAACATAGATTATAAATCAGCTCAAGACTTTCCAACTCAAGAACATCCTCGTTATCTACGAAACAAAAATGGTGATCCAATTCAAGCTATATAAGGGAAGAAACATTACCATGTTATTGAGTACTTGAAGATGAATAACACACAATCTCTGTCTCTGACTCCATTGATGTAGTGCAGGTGGTCTGTAATAGCAAAGCAGCTGCCAGGAAGAACAGACAACGATGTGAAGAATTACTGGAACACAAAGCTGAGAAAAAAGCTTTCAAAAATGGGAATAGATCCAATAACTCACAAGCCCTTTTCTCAGATCCTGTTTGACTATGGATCCATAAGCAGCCTCCCAGCCACGCCCAAACCCCCCCTGATAGGCCCCTTCAACAAAACCTTGAACCCAACAACAACAACAACAATGGCCAAAACCCAGCAACCATTTTCTTCAGGGGCCTATTTGGGACAGCAATTTCAGTTTCAGACCCCAAAGAAACCACAGTTTTTTAATGAACAACCGACAACCTCGTCCTGTTCATCGTCCTCCATCAATGGCGGTGAAGGCTTATTCCATTTTGCTGCATCTTCGTCGTGTTGTTCGGAGCAGCGCAATGGGATTGAGCCCTTTTCGCAGCAATGTGAAGGGTCTTCTTCCGATTCGTCTTTCGATTCGTTTGTGGATGCCTTGTTGGTGCAGGATTGTGAGATTAAGGGCTCGTTTCCGGAGATTTTGGATGGGTGTTTTGATTATTGAGGAATTTGGTTTTTTTCTTTTGTTATTTCTTTTTCAGTTCTACAAATGTCGGGGCGGATAAAAATAAATGTAATTGGTTGAATAAATTTGCTGCCACAGTATCTTGAAAAATAATGAGTTCTTAGTGTTATTTCATTTCCTAGTTGATTGCCTAATTGAAGTATAAATTAATTTTAAGATTTATTTAAATTATGAAATAATAGATTTATTGGATGTACATGAATGGGAATTGAAGTTTAAAAATGTGATGGGGAGAAGAACAAAACACCATTTCTAATGGTATAGAAACGAGAACAAAACATTGTTTATAAGTGTGAAAATTTTTGGAAACCTTCCCCACGCATTTTAAAACTTTGAGAAAAAACTTAAAGATGACAATATTTGTTAGCGGTGGGCTGGGTCATTACAAATGGTATCAAAGCTAGGACGATGTGCTAGCCTTCTTGATGGCCCCAAAGGGGGAGGATTTGGTGGGGGTCCGACATCAATTGGAAAAAGGAACGAGTGCGAGTGAGGATGGCTCCAAAGGAAGTGGATTGTGATGTCCCATATTTGTTGAAGAGAAGAACAAAACACCCTTTATAGTGGTTTGGAAGCCAGAACAAAATACTCTTTATAAGAGTGTGGGAGCGTATGAAAACGTTCCCCTAACAGATTCATTTTATAAAAAAGTGTGAAAAAATACTTTTTTTTTTGACGTTGGTTGATTAGTCATATTCATTAGATGGGTCATGGAGTCAATTCAAGGTAGACTACACATTGAACTTAGATCCACCTTTCATATTCAATTTAATTAATTTTCTGATTGGAATGCCTAAATATCGGTCCATTAAAATTTAAAGAGAAAATTAATGAAAATGAATTTTAACTATTAAATTATTAAAGTCCCAACCCAAACCTATAGCTAATAGCTATGTTTGTTTTGACTCATTACATATTTCTGTCAGTCTCACGATTTTATAATGCGTTTGCTAAGGAATCAGGTAAAGCATGACACCAGAATTCATGAACCATTCATCTCGAATAATTCTAGACACATTCAAGACCTTTACAAAATCATACCCATCAACTACATTCAACTGTTCTTATCATCGGCCGGAACTTGGACATTATTTCTTAAAAATATGATTTATAAGTATCCCTTGACTTTAATGAAATGAAATGACTACGAAACAAATCGAGAGAAGGATGAATGTAAGGTGTCCATGTTTTGGGACACATTTGGTGACTATGAAACAAAACCATACACTACATTACAAATGGCAATTTGGAATAGAATAGATGTTATCCAACCAACCATACATTTTTATTGTGATTAAGATATCAATTACCATATTAAAGAGTTAGATGATATCGATCTCTCACCCATCCTAAATGTTACATTAAAAAAATAGACTAAGAAGTTAGATTCGATTCTCTCATCCTAAAAAAGTTATATAAAGAAAAAACAAATTACTCGACTTACAAAAATTGTTTTTATTTTATTTTTCCTAATATTTAAATATTTCTTAATTCAACCCCTATTAATGATTATGTATTAAAATATGAAAGTTTCATAAAAATTGGTTAATGATATTTAGTGATTTTATTGGTTAATGATATTTAGTGAAATCTAAGAGTATTTCTAGAATTTTTTGGGAAAATGAGAAACTTTCATCACTATCTTAGATAACACTATCTTCTTCGCCACGACATTTCAATCTTCATTGATCACGACGAACTAAATTAAAGCAACACTTAGTATTATTGGAACTAAAACATCCAAGGAAGTGAGAGAGGTTGTTTGGTTAGAGTAATATCATCTTTGTACGGTTCCCAACTTGCTATTTATATTTAGAAATGTTTACAAAGCAAGACGACAATAAATAAGACTTCACGATTAATTCACATATGATTTGAATTGGATTATTAAATTATTGAATTCAGTTCGATTCAAATAATTGAAAATTTTATGGGTTTAGTTAGTAAATGAATTTCTCTAAAAAAAAAAAATTGGAAAAAAAAAAAAAGTTAAAACCCATAATATTTTACTAAATATCAAACCTTCCAACAACTATAATTAAATATGGATCAATTAATTAAGGTCAAAAAGAGCACTTCAATAATATTAGACAGGACCATTATAGAACTTGCTTTTGGTGGCTTGCAGCTCCCTAAGATCATAACTTTTTCCATCACCATACACAAATCATAATGGAGAAAAAAAAAAGTGTGATTATTTGAGGACATAATTCACCTAATTCGAGTAAGAACGTTTAAAAAAAAAAACCTATGATGGTGACCTAATTTTCCAACTCAATTAGAGTTGGATAAGTGTTCATCCTTTGCTGGATCTTCTCATTTGAATAATTATTTGGAAGAAAAATAGGGAGGGAGCTCACCATTCTCACCAAACTAACTCTGATGCAAACCATAAATCTATAAATTAATTAAATGCATGTAAATAATAATACAAACTAAACAAATGACTTACCACTGTTCGAGCATCTTGCTATCTCCATATGAGAAACGTCGTCTTAGCTTTCTCTGACCAAGATCACTCCCACATCAGTAGCGTTCGTGATCGGTCACAAACTCACAAAATTATAAGATACAACATTTATATTTTATCAATTAGACATGTTTACTTGAATTTTACAGATTTCGAGATCTTACCAATTACATAAACAAAAGTTTCTAAAGTCCACATCAACCACAAGCATAGAACTACCCAAAGCCGGAGTTAGCAAATACTTGCAAGAAACTCTAAGAATGAGATGTAATCTTACAAAAGATATGCGAGCAAAGCATACAGAAAGATGGAAGCAAAAGAAAAATAAAGAAAAGGGATGGATTATTATTTATTAGGGTTTAGGGTCACAAAACAAATATAAATTTTGACGTTATTAAAAGGAAAATTAATCCACAAGACAGACGTGACTCCCACTACCTAACAGCTCTCTACCTATCCTATGTAATATATATTTAATCAAAATCCTTTCTCCTAATATCATATCATATCATAACACATTGTGAGGCTTATATCTCTCTAAAGTTCCTTTCACTACTCGCTGTCTTTCCTTCAACCAACACCCATCAAATTATACACACTATTTCTCTCTCTCCGAACCACCTTTGACTTCTACCCTCCCTCTAGAAGTTGCCGCCTGCAGTTTCTTTGTTGAACCCCAATTGGGTTCCATTTCAAATCCCCTTTCTCTCTCTCTACTGCATAGAATTGGGCGGTAAGCACGAAGGTTTGTGAGGAATTATTTGCTCCTCATTGAATTGTAGAAGAGGGTGGTCAAAGTCAGAGAAAAGGGAAGAAATTATTGCCACCATAAAGCTTTTGGGAATTAATAAGCTATATGGAGAACAATATTATGAGTGGAATGATCAGCTCATATGAACTTGAACAGTACCAGAGATTTTCTTCTTCAAAGTAATGGAAGGGGAGAGCCATAAGTCCAAATCCAGTAGGTTCCGCAAGTACTGGTTCACTGCTGGAAAGCATAAGAGACCTGACCCATGTTGCCCCAGCAATGAAATTTCTGGTTCGTTTTGTCATATGTTTGTTGATTTTGTTTCGGTTAATTTCTATTTCAACTTACTGGGGTTGTCTTTGTTGCAGATGGAGATGACTACGAAAGTGAAAACTTTCTGGAGAAGGTCCTTTCTCGGTCGGTGGATATGGCTCCGTACAAATTAGCCAATGAATTAAGGTGGCCAAAGGAATTAAAAGTTTTTGAGTCATAATTTCTCTATGATACTTTTCTTAACTTTAAATCTGGAATCGATTGTCCTGAATTGAATCAGAATCTTTGTGGGTACTTGGAATGTCGCCGGAAGATCGCCGATCGGAAGCTTGGCCGTCGATTTAGACGATTGGCTCAATCTCAAAGATGCTGCAGATTTATACGTTCTTGGGTATGTTGTTTAGATCCAAAAAGAAAACAGAGCTCTTCTTTTTTTTTTTTTTTGAACAATTGGGCACTAAGTTTCGACTGGGTTTGTTTTTTTCTCTGTTTTTGGAAGGAAGATTTCAAGAGATTGTACCGTTACAAACAAGGACAGTAGTCGGAGCGGAGGACACAACCAAAGCAACAAACTGGAACTTACTGATCGGAAAAATTCTAAACGACAAATACGGATGCCCATGGCTAACGCCAATGATGACGAACACAGCCACCGGCGACGAGGATTACAAAAGAAACAAAGACTCCAAAAGGCCGAGGAGTTTCGCAGGCGGCGATCACACTCCGATCAAATTCCCGGGGAGAATACCGGCGAACAGGGTCATGGGCGGGAGCAGATACGTGTTGTTGGCAAGCAAGAAGATGGTGGGAGTGTTTATAAGCGTATGGATAAAGAGAGATTTGGTGAGGAAATATTACATATCCAATGTGAAAGTTTGTTCAGTGGCCTGTGGAATAATGGGTTACTTGGGGAATAAAGGGTCGGTTTCGGTGAGTATGTCGATTGAAGGGACAAGTTTTTGCTTTGTGGCTGCCCATTTGGCTTCCGGGGAGAAAAAGGGGGACGAGCGGCGGAGGAACCGCCAGGTGTCTGAGATATTCCGGCGAACTTTTTTCGCCAGAACGCCTAAAGATGATTGCTATCCAAATCCACGTCCTCCACCTCTCACCATCTTAGGACATGAGTAAGTGGGTGTTTTTAATTTCTTTGTCGTCGCTATTAAATGAAAAAGGCCAACGTTACAGTGATTGTACACAGTCGTTGTACGTCATAATTTTTCTTCAGATTTAAGGCAATGTTAGAATAGAGAGGTTAAAGTTCTAGAATAGATAATTAAACTTCTAGAGTAAATTACCCATTTGTCCTTGGTGGTTTGGAGTTAGTGTTAAGAAAAGGGCTTTCTAGAAAGCATAAACTTTTCAAAAGATTGAAACATGCTTAGCCTAGGGAAGCAATAGTTAGTAGTGTTATGATGGAAAGTTAAAATTGACGTAAATTTTGGATTTGTGTGCTGTGGAACAGTCAAATATTTTGGTTTGGGGATCTGAACTATAGGCTGTATTTAGAGGACAGTTTTGCGAGGCAATTGATAAAGGAACAAGAGTGGGAAGCATTGCAAGAGTTTGATCAGCTACGGAAAGAGCAAGAAGCTGGTGGGGTATTTCAGGGATGGAGAGAAGGGAACATACAGTTTGCTCCTACCTACAAGTATTCTTCATCAAATTGCAATCGCTATTCAGGTGGTCCTCTGAGAAGAACAGGAGAGAAGCAAAGAACTCCAGCATGGTACTATTTCATCATCTAACACACATTTTACTCTATTCTCTCTCCCTCTCTAAAAGCTTATGAAGCCCTAGGGTTTAGGGTTTATGAAGTCCTTCATAGCTCTAAAAGCATGGTACTATACTCTAGAAGCATATAGGATTCTTGAGTACAGAGTCCATGAAGTCCTTCAGTTTTCAATTAATTTCCAAGATATTGGACAAAAGAAAAAAAAAACAGATATATAGATTGTTGAAGCTCTCTTATCTATTTTCGAGGATCTAGAGTAGAGGGTCCATGGAGTCCTTCAGTTTTCAATTAATTTCCAAGAAATTGGAAAAAAAAAAAAACATATAGATAGATTCTTTAGGCTCTCTTATCTATTTTCGAGGATTCTAGAGTAGAGGGTCCATGAAGTCCTTCAGTTTACAATTAATTTCCAAGAGATTGGAAAACAAACAAACATACAAACAAACAGACAGAAACAGAAAGAGAGAGATTCTGTAGTCTCTCTCTATGAACTCGATGAGATGAAATCATAGGGTAGAGTGTGGATCCTTCTGTTTTGAATTAATTTCCAAGAGAGAAGGAAAAACAGAATTCACAGAGAGGGAGAGAGGGAGAGAGAGATGAAATAATTTCCCAGAAACAGAAGAAAAAACAGAGAAAAAGATAGAGAGCTTAAAGAATGCAAGTAATTTACTCTTTGTTCCCTCTGAAACCTTAAATGAAGGCTTAGACTTTTGGATTAATTCCCCCCCCCCCCCCCCC